TTAGGTTGCTGAGTCAGAACCGACTTGAAGGCACCTAACAACATCATCCATCATTTATCTAGTTAACTGTGTATCTCTATCTATCTATCTATCTATCTATCTATCTATCTATCTATCTATCTTTATTTATTTATCTCTATCTATCTATCCGTTTATCTATTTATTATCTCTCTATATCTATTTACCTATCATCTATCACTATTATTTATCTCTATATCTATCCATTGAAGTGTCATCTATTTATCCCTTCGAGCCAATTCTCATTCTGTCATTGATCCCTGCCTGCATCTGGATTCCTGGTCAGAATATATTTATTGTGGAAAGAAATCACAGGGAGAGGTGAAAGGATGCAACCAACATCCTCCCCACATGGGAAGCCCTGAGACAGGAGCCTCCCTTGGCCTCTGTTCACCTTTATATGCAAAAGCACCTCCCACATGCAAATTCCCTCTTAGACAACCACACAGACCACAGCACTCACTTACTTAAATTCACGCTCCTCCTCGGCCTGGAGAAAATTCTCTGAAAATCATGGACCTCATTCACAACAAGATGAAACACATGTGGCTTTTTCTCTTTATGGTGGCAGCTCCCACAGGTGAGTGTTGCAGGGACACAGACGAGAAGGTCTGGGGATGCTGCCTCTGAGCCCAGGACTCACTGTGCTTCTCCTTGTTCCCAGGTGTCCTGTCCCAGGGGCAGTTGCAGGAGGTGGGCCCAGGACTGGGGAAACCCTTACAGACTCTGTCTGTCACCTGCACAGTCTCTGGATTCTCTTTAACCGACTGTGATGTGAACTGGGTCCGTCAGGCTCCAGGAAAGAGGCTGGAGTTGGTTGGGGTGGTATGGTATTATGGAAACACAAAGTATAACCCAACGTTGGCATCACGAGTCAGCATCACCAGGGACACCTCCAAGAGACAAGTTTACTTACAGCTGAGCTCCTTGACTGCCGAGGATACAGCCGTGTATTACTGTGCAAGAAACACAGTGAGGGGAAGTCAGTGGGATCCCTAATACAAACCTCCCTCCATGGAGGCCAAGAAAGGTTGCAGGGGGTGCTCAGTACCACACTGCTCAGGGGACCAAACCAGGGCAGGTCCAGAGGGAGGGAGAAGGGTTAGGTTTCTTTTAGAATATGTGGTTTCCTCTTCCTGTGCGGGAATTTCTCTAGAGACTTTCTACTGCTTCATCCTCTTTGCATGGGTTGTTTTTTCTTCACTCTCACTATATCTACCTATCTAAACAATGTTTCATTGCTTTTTATTATTCAGAATACATATATATGACTGTATATAGGATTACAGGATTTTCCATTGCATGGATGTATCTGAAGACAAAGACCTTATTGTAGAATCAATATTCTGATTTGGACTCCCAACTTCCCCAAATGTGAGACAATAAATTCCGTTTATTCAAAGCTATCCACAGGTGGTAG